GACATTCAGTCCTTTGCATATAATCTCCAAAGATCCTGTCAAGATTCATGATACAAATCCTATTACACTCAGATCACCAGGCCAGATTACAAAAAGCCAAGGAATTGCCAACAGTAACAGCACAAATAGTCAAGGATGCAGACTTTGCAAACAAATAGATCTGGAATCAGGCCTTGGCTCAGCCGTTTTCTGACAGGAGAATCTTGGGCAGGTCACTTCACCTCATTGAGCCCCAGTCTCTTTATCCACAAAATGGAAATAATAATAGTACATACCCACCAGGGCTGTTTGAGAGAGAGAAAAATAATTCATGTAAATGTTGAAGCTCACATCTAGCAGATACTAAGAGCTCAATAAGTATTAACTACTCTGATATTATTAATAGGCTGCAGTATAACACAATGTATCAAAAGCTTCCTAAGAGTGCATTTCTAATCCTGGGAAATAGACAAGAGAGCTAACAAATTCGTGTACAAAGATGTCCATGGCAACGTGAGCTATAAAGGCAAAACCTAGCAATCTAACCTTCTACTAGTGAGAGCAGGCCGGCTGGATAGGTACCACCTACACCAAAATACCACGCGGCTGCGAAGAGAGGGGCCGTGGCCTCCCAACCACTGGCAGGGAGAGATGCCATGAGGTGTTGGGTGAAAAAGAGCAAATGGCAGAGTAGTGTATGTATAATCTGATGCTATTTGGTGAAAAAATATTTAGAGGTACATATACACATTCGTACATGTATATACTTGCGTATGCACAGAAAAATGTCCACAAGGCTACAACACACCTTAACACTAGTTACCCCTGGAGATGGAGGAAGAAGGTAAGTCATTCTTCTACTTTAGACACCCCTATAAGGCTTGAATTTTTCATTAAAAAAAAAATTTTTTTTTAACGTTTATTTATTTTTGAGACAGAGAGAGACAGAGCATGAACGGGGGAGGGTCAGAGAGAGAGGGAGACACAGAATCTGAAACAGGCTCCAGGCTCTGAGCCATCAGCACAGAGCCTGACGCGGGGCTTGAACTCACGAACCACGAGATCATGACCTGAGCCGAAGTCGGACGCTTAACTGACTGAGCCACCCAGGCGCCCCTTGAATTTTTCATTTTTTTTTTTCAACGTTTATTTATTTTTGGGACAGAGAGAGACAGAGCATGAACGGGCGAGGGGCAGAGAGAGAGGGAGACACAGAATCGGAAACAGGCTCCAGGCTCTGAGCCGTCAGCCCAGAGCCCGACGCGGGGCTCGAACTCACGGACCGCGAGATCGTGACCTGGCTGAAGTCGGACACCCAACCGACTGCGCCACCCAGGCGCCCCTTGAATTTTTCATTTTAAATGAAGGACATGTACCACTTCCTAATTAGAGAGAGAGAAGCGCTCTTTCTTGAACATTCCAAATAAGCTCTTCTGTGAGGGCCTTTGTGCCTGCTGCTCCCTCTGCCAGGGTCACCATCCTTCCAAATGACAGCAGGCTTCAAGCTCTGTGAAAATGTCCCCTCCTCTGTGAAGCCTTCCCTGATCCCCCTATGTAAATAGCTATGCCCTCTCTACCTCCCATGCCACCCCCTACCGTCGCCTTGGTTTTCTGGGTTCTCTGCTGCACTTGCTCACCCTGTGACCTACCATTTATTTTACTAGCTAGTTAATCGTCTGTCTCACCCCACTACAATGTCAGTTCCATGAGGGCACAGGTTTTTGTTTCTGTTGTTATTCACTGCTGCCTGCCCAGGCCTGGCACGTGGAAAACACTCAATGAATAACCGTCTGGGCCCTGATGGGACCAGGTCACAGTCAAAGGTTGGGCTTTGAGTCATCTACTTCGGTCAGACTCAGAGGCTGAAAGGGATGGGATCTTTTGAGCAACCCTGGTTCCAGGAATCCACCCTTTCAATGTACTCGCACAAGCGCATAGGGGCATCTGCACAAGGATTTTCCGTGCAGAGCTGCTCAAAGTTAAAAACTGGAACCAACCTACATGTCTATCAAGAGAAGGCTGGCTTAAGAGTCTGTGATACATGCAAATTATGGGGCACTATGCAACTGTTACCAAAAAAAAAAAAAAAAAA